ACCTGGCCCCCAAGTCCTAATTCTCTGACCACTCCCCTATGCTGTTTTCACTAATCAAGGGACGCAGTGGGATGAAAAGCTACCAGGATAGTGGCTTGTCTGTAGCTAAAGACTGTGCAGAAGACACTTGACTTAACTTTGGGTTTCCCAAATTACAGCTCACACACTGAGCCATAACATTTCATTGCAAAACACTTTTTGATATCTAATAGCTATGTGTATATCAAGCTATGTGTATAGAAACATAAACTTATCTCATACTTAAGGATATATTAGCCAGAGACCCTATGGTTACTATGCTGGTTTCTACTATTCCACAAAGCCTTGCTTAGGACACAATAAGTTGCTTTTCTACATAACAGATGCAGCACCCAACTTGGACTTAAAGATCCTGCTTTTAAGGCAACCTTGTTTATTACTTCAGTTGTTAAGCACACAATTAACATTCCACACACCCTTGGTCTCACTGTTATTCCACATTTTTCAATTGCTTCTACATTCCTGTATCCAACTACTGTAGCTAAAATTTGCAAGTTCTGACAAACTCCGAGCGTGCACAACTTCACATTTCCACTTCTTACTTCCTAGCAGCATCACCAATGCAGGAGTAAAACAGCTTATGCAAATACCTAGGGAAAGGCACCATTCTACCCTAGAGGTGAATAACATATATTAAAGTAGAATTAATAAAATGATCCCTGTAATAAGGTGCTGATGCTGGGCCTATGTGGAAAAGATGCCTCAGTGGGTGGCCCTAGGCCAGTGTGAGCCTGATGCTCCCATCTTGGATTCCTGATCCAAATGCCACCACCTACCCACCCTACTCCATCCCTGGCTGGCTGCCTCTTCTTCCTTGCTCTTCCCTTTAGGAAGGCCAGAACAGGGAAGAGGAAGAGGGAGAGAAACAGTGAAATGCCCAGAGTGCGTCCCTGAGAAATTCCTTGCATAATGACCCATTTGTCTTTCTTTTTCCCCAAGAGTCTCAGCACAGATGAGGGTTATAGATGGTTCCCACCGAGATACTGCAGGAGTGCAGGCCTGTTTAACCACAAAGAAGGAGTGATAGTTTTCTGCTTTGGACTATTGGGAGCCCATTTGCTGGCCTTTAACAGTGACCTCATATGGGGCTAGGATTTCCTGAAGTGAAAGATGGGATGGGAGGCTTCATTAGCCTGATTTTGAAATTACCAGGTAGGAATGCTTGTGTGCATTCCATTTTGAAACCAGACTACCTTGCCTCTTGGCCTGCACCCATTCTCTGTATTTTGCTGCTCTTTGCAGCTTGACTGCAGCTCTTGGCTTAAGCAATGTCACGAAAGGTGTTTTAAAACGGCAGGATGGTGTTTTAAAGCACATGTTTTTCCACGTGGACTTTTCTAAACAAAAAACTAGCAGGTGAATGCAACTGGGATGGCATGGATTTATGAATGAACACAAGGAAAACTTACAGGGATGGAAAACGGACTGATCTGTCCACTTGTATGGATGAACTGCTGTTACTGGAAGCAGAGGTCTCCGTGGGCATCGCGGGAGTCTGCCAAGCCTTGCTGTTCTTTTTCTGATTGCTTTGGCTTTTCACCTGCTTCAGATTTGAGTTGGATAAAATCATTTACGAGAGATTTTCTTCGATGTAAATTGGATGCTAATTATTTTTTGAAATGTTTTATCAAAAAAGGAAAAAGCAAATATACAACGTGACTAGTAATCATAACATTCCTTTGTTAACAGCAGCATAATGGCGAGACTTCATCAGCCCTGCAGACAGTGTCCCCCTGTTGTTAGAGGAGGAGAGTCAAAATGGTCTGTGGTAGCCAATGATCAGGAGGCGTCTGGTAGCACCTTTCCCAACTAATAAGTTGTACTCAGACACATATGTTTCCATGGCTTGCCCCATCCCATTCTAGCACTGAAGATGTTACCTAGCCGGGTAACGAAACGTTTGCAAGAAAACAGCCAAGAGAACCCCAAGGACGCCACAGTTTCCATGAGCTGCAGCTTGCTTCCTCTGATGTACCTGATGAAGGGAGCTGCATCACCAGAATGTGTGCTTTTAATAAAATGTTAGTTGAAAAGGTGCTACTGGACTCCTCCTTACCTTTTAGGCTATCCAAAGGCAAATGGAGAAGATTAATGAACAAGGAATTGGAGGTGTGGGAAAACAGATATGGACAAGAAGGAATGAAAAAGAAGCCGATGCCTCTGCTTTAAAAGTTGGCTGTATTGTTACCTCACCAGGGAATAATTCTCTGAGTTCAACTACACGTTGCAATTTTGCCTTTCAGTTTTTCTTTCTTATGATTTGGAGGGGAAATGTAATGCTGCTCTGCTGAGGCCTGATTTTACCAGTATTATTATCTCCCTGACCGAGTTATAAGGCTTCATGAAGAAGCATTCATTGATGGCAGGAGATTCCCCCCCCCTCCCTTGAAACCCTGTTCTACTCAAGGAAGGTGCAGTGTTCATTATAAGCACAACTGCAGAGGAAGCATTAAACTTTTCTTCCTTGTATTCAGGAGGGTCCCAGTAAAGAATGATCATCTCTGACTATTAAAGAAGAACTAAGATATATGTTATTTCTAATATAATATCTGATGGAGCCTTTACAGAAATGGTAAGCTGTGTCTGGGCTATGCATTGAACAGCAGGTTGGAGCTTTTGTGAATTAATAAATATTCATCCTTACTAATGTTATGAGAGCCAGTTTAGTGTGGTGGTTAAGGCACCAGGCCAGAAACCAGGAGACCATGAGCTCTAGTCCCGCCTTAGGCATGAAGCCAGCTGGGTGACCTTGGGCCAGTCCCCCTCCTTGGCCCTAGAAAGCAGGCAATGGCAAAAACGTTCTTGCCAGGAAAACTGCAGGGACTTGTCCAGGCAGTCATTTGGAGTTAAAAACTGACTTGAAGGCATACGCACAGAATTGAAAAATTAAGTAAAGTCATAATGATTAAATAAATAAATTTCTGGCAGATTTCCTTTCCAATGTTGGTGTCAGATATGGCTGGATTAGAACAGTTATCTCTGAACCTCACTCTCCTAAGCTACTCTACTCTTTCTGGACAGAGTTCACAATCTTTGCTTATGCCAGTGTTGTTCCCACACTTGTCCCACGACCCCTCATAGGGGGGGGGGGGGGCTCCACATCCTTAGAGCGACGCCTTGCAGATAT